ACCGAGACATGGTGGTCTTCTCCTTCGATTTACAGATATTTTGAGGGTCACTGGAGTTGGGTGGGTCTAGTTCACGTGAATCTCTCGATTTGCTCGGGTAGAAGACGATGAACGTGGGTGGTCTAGTTCGTATGTATCTAATTTTTTTTTATTAACATGGATATCCAACTCGCTATGCGAGCCGACTAATCCCAGAACGACCATCTGCTTCACGGATAGCATCGAGTCACCGCATTTGAATCTTCGTGGCCACAAAGAGATTTGTATTCCTCCTTGAATTCGAACCTGGGACCTCCAGGCACTTTTGACCTTTGGAGTCCAAGCTCAAACCAATCGGGCACCACATTCATGCGAGGAGGGGAGAGCGGCAATAAGGGAAACGAAAAGAAGGCTCATTCAAAAACCAATAAAGCCATATTTCACTGGAAGAAGCGGTGGGGGATCTGTTAATGGGACCTCGACGGCTTGATGTGTGTATATATTATGCATTTATTTATGTAATAAACGTTAGCACATTTGTACATAAGATTCTTATGTTTGTACATTATTTTTTTTTAACAAAAGACAAAATGACCGAAATGCCTCTCAACTAACGAGACTCTTAACTAACAGATGTAATATCAGGGACCAAAATGCAAACGAAGAGAATGATTTATGAGTTTATTACCACTTTCAGAAATTTCAACAAACCTCAAGGACCAATATTGTAATATACTCGTTCTCTAAAGAAAAATAGCAGAAAAAATCTTATCTAATTCAGGCGCTGTCAAAAACCCTTACAGACATAGAGGCTCACTTGCGATGACTCTGTGTCATTCATTCACGGTCCCCGCAGAAGATTAGCGGTGTACATAAGCTGACCTGAAAACCTACGGTTATCAAAACAAGAGTAGAATGACCTAAAGGAAAAGGGTATAAACCAATCTTAAATCCGGCTGTAACGATTGTATTATGTCATTTTATTAATATAACGTAATAAAAAAACCAAGAATTTCTAAAAATAATATGAAAATGTAACAAAAATGTTTAGCATAAAAGGAAAAGTGGAAACAATGATTTAGAAAAGTCAATACTTTTTTTTATAGGTAGTGAAATTATGATACAAAAATAAAGTAGAAAATAATTATTGGTAATGAAAGTGAAAATGATGATGTTGGATAGGTAAAGTGGGTCATCTTTGCTTTGCATAAACATGTTTCATAATTAGCCATTAAATTGGAAAGGCTAAAGATTCTTTGGCCAATGGGCACCATGACAACAAAAAGGTGTTTCTTTGTGCACAAATCATCAAAAAAAAAATATATATATATATATATATATATATATATATATATATGGTGGAGGTTCAAACGAGAACACTTTATTTTACGAGAACGTGAGAACACTTTTATCACATGTGATAATACGCGTAAGGGGACCTTGTGATGTACGGACGACGTGTTTCTACGACTTAGGTGACGTCAAATGTTGTATGCGTCTATGATTTAGCATCACATGTGATGGATTATAGTATCATATTAACAATAACTTTATCACATGTGATAATACGTGTGACGGGACTTAGTGGTGTAAGGAGACTTGGCCCGCAACCAAGATCGCATCGAAAATCACCCCCGTCTCTGATTTAGTATCATATATGATGAAATAATAGTATCACATGTGATTGTCTATTGTAAAAGGGTGTTCTCGCGTTCTCATAAAATGAAGGTGTTTTCGTTTGAACTCTTCCATACATACATACATACATACATACATACATACATACATACATACATACATACATACATACATACATACACACACACACACACACATATATATATATATATATATAGGGGAACGATCAAATGCAAACCACTCAATTTGTACAAACCGTACAAACCGCATTCAACCAATCATAATTTTTCATTTTGTTCATTTTTTTGTAATTATGAGAGGTTGATTAATTATTTTTATTGTGGAGGGTGTTAATTATAGATATTATCATCTTCATTATTTTAATTTTAGAGAACTACATGAAACAGTTTCATTAATGTTAGAGAAATATATGAAACAATTTCATTAAGTATTATATGAAACAATTTCACAACCATATATGAAACAACTTCATCAAAAAAAAGTATTATATGAAACAATTTCACAACCATATATGAAACAACTTCATCAAAAAAAAGTATTATATGAAACAATTTCACAAGATTAAACAATTTCATGAAAAAAATTCATAAGATTAAACAATGAAATCGACAGATGAAKGTGGTTTGCACGGTTTACACAAATGAGGGCGGTTTTCATATGATCACTCCTCTATATATATATATATATATATATATATATATATATACTTGAAATCATGTGAGACAAGACTGTTTTTGTGAAATACGTGAGACACGATTTTTACACGTCGTCCGCACATCACAAGGTCCCCTCACACATATTATCACATGTAATAAGGGCGTTTTCACGTTCTCGTAAATGGAGGTGTTCTTATTTGAACATCCACTATATATATATATATATATATATATATATATAATATAATATAATGTGTGTGTGTTTTTTTTAATATTCTTTCAAAAGAATATAATTCAAGGTGCAAGGACTAAGGGTGGGGTGGGGTGGGGTGGGGTGGCGTGGGGTGATATACCATTCAAATATCTCATTGATTAATGAAGATTAAAAAGTAACATATGAGTTAAATTTGGATATTTTTTATATAATATAAATTCTTTTTTGTCTTTAATGGTTTTTCTGAAAAGTAATGTAATGAAGTTTCACATATTTCATATAATAGCTAACCAAGCTCTGACACAATAGAACAACAATATGTGTCTGTCTAGCTTAGAGTCTCACATCCGATGCACTTGGACCATTTTCCATACATACACACACACACACACACATATATATATATATATACATATAGAGAGAGAGAGAGATAGAGAGAGAGAGAGAGGGGGAAGTGGGCTATTATACAACCTTTTTACATTTGTACAACTAATACAACTCAATCTCAACTGTCCATTTAATTTGATGAATATGTAATTTATAGAAGTTTTGATTATTTTTTAATATAAAATATTAATCATAATTAATGAACCGTATTCATATTCCATAAATATTTAAATCATAATAAATAAACTCTCATCATTTCCATAAATATTTCAATTTATTGGGTTGCATTGGTTGTACAAATGCGATTGGTTGTATTTGAAACAAACTATATATATATATATATATATATATATATATATATATATTGTAGCCTCTCTTTTTGAGCTCTTTCGAATAATAATCTAACAAGATTCCATATATTTTCACAATAACCCAGATTTCTATTTTGTTTGATTTTACGTCTTGAAATCAACCTCAAGAATAACGAGGTGAATTGTCACTTTAGAGAGGTGAAATTTGTGTTGCATATGGATTTGGACATTTAAGCTTGCTATCTTATTTGACTTGCCTCAAAGTCAAAGCACATTTTTTATCGTTTGGTTCGGTTAGTCATGACCATCATGATCGAAAGATGGTTTCTTTCTTTGATCCTCCAAAAAAGGCCAATTACCCACGAAAAAGAACAATCCGATGGTCATAACAACCAATCAAGGGCAGTGGTCTGTAAGACCATCCACACCAGAGCTTTTTGGCCACCTAAGGTCGTAAAAGAGCTCCCAACAACCCCCCCCCCCCTCTCGTTTTGCTTGTGTAGTTACAATCTCTCAAAAAGCTTGTTTTTGTTTGTGGGTCCATTTTGTTAGAAGGGAAAAAAACTCCGATTAGTGTTCTTGATAGATTTTAAGCAAGGGGAATGGGGGGTTCGTAAGGAGGTGTTTTAGGAGAGTGTTTTCATAGATGGAATGAGCATGTTTATAAGTGGGAAAGACAGATTCAAAAGAAAAAAAAACTTGACTTTCTGCATAAGACCCTCTCTAAAATTTTACTGAATAAAACATTTTCTATATCATTAACCAATATCAAACAGTCATGTACAACTGACCAAATAAAACGGAAGTCTTATTAAACGTGTACTGAATTTGTTGCTTTTAAGGACACTCATGTTGTGTGTCTTGAAGGGCACTTTGAGGGTTGATTTGCATTATTTAAAGGTATCTATTAAGACTATATAGTGTACTACTGTACCCAAATGGGAAGACCTCTGTTCCTCACTGGTACGGAACTAGATGTCCCAATGTATGTCTGCATGTGCATGAAATTGGACCTGTCAAAGGGCAATGGGTCCCACAGAAAAACCAATAAGTCTCTATTGCACTAAAAGATCAATCTTTGCTTGTCTCATTACTTGGGACATCTTGCAAAACAGAACAAACCCTCCATTGTTGATCTCCATGTCCATCTGGGGTTTGATTGAGTTCTGTTCATGACCATGTCCATCTGGGGTTTGATTGAGTTCTGTTCATGGAGTCAAGAACAGGGTCTCAGAAAGAAACAAAAAAACAAGAAGTTAAAGAATTAGTTTTATGGGATCCAAAGCCTTAACTTTCAATACACACACACACACACACACACATATATATAATCATAAAGAAAACAAACCCTCCATTGTTGATCTCTATTTCCAACTGGGGTTGATTGATTTCACAGAAAGAAGCAGAAATCAAGCAAGAAAGAACTGGTTTTTTTGGGATGCAAAGCTTTGAACTTTCAAGAAAACATATATATATATATATATAGAGAGAGAGAGAGGATTGAGATCACGTGAGACCAGCTTGTTTTCATGAAGCCCCGGTGTTTTTGCTGTGAAGGTTCGTCTTTTCTTTATCTTCACAGCTTTTTGCTGCGAAGTTTCAAGTGTAAAAAGATGGTCTCACGAAAACAGGTTGGTCTCACGTGATCCCAAGTCTATATATTATGTATATATAATGATAAAGAAAACAAACCCTCCATTGTTGATCTCTATTTCCATCTGGGGTTGATTGATTTCACAGAAAGAAACAGAAATCAAGCAAGAAAGAACTGGTTTTTATGGGATTCAAAGCTTTGAACTTTCAAGAAAACATGTATTCACTGAAAAAGACAATCTCAAACATCAAAAAAGATGGCCAAAGGAGCTCATCAAAGAGCCAATAGAAAACTCAAAAGATAAGCTTTCTTGAAAATGTCCCCATCTCTCCCTTTCATTCCCCCAATATTTTGAGTATGATAAATCATTAGAGAAAAGGGTGTTTCAAAAAAGAAAGGGAAAAAAAAAACTAAGTGCTCTAATAATCCAAACAAGCATATCTCATACATCAATACAATGATAGTTTTGAAGAAGCCTATTGGCTTCTCTAAGACCACTGAAATAAGCACCATGAGTTGTGGAGTAATGAGTTCTATGTGTAGCTTCTCCTGCAAAGAGAATTTGAAGTATGGGAGAACCTGAACCACCGGTTGTTGACTCAAAAGTGGCGGTTTCCGGCAATGGTTCAGCCAGTGAATCAATATCGCAACCACTTGATCCGACTGCTATATAACTATACGACCCCATAAACAGCGGATCACTCCCCCATCCACTTTTCAAAACCTTGTCAAATTTCAGTTTGGAATTCGACAAGAAGCTAGAGATAGTTGTGGAAACTTCATCAAGAATCACATCATCTTGTAGTGATTCAAGTTTAAGTGCTTCATCACCTGCAAACCAAGATAATAGCACACTGGATCTCTCATAAATCGGTGACAAAGAAGCTGTCCTCCTCATCCACCATGGGATTTTCGGGTTCTTGATTTCAAGATCGGATTTTTGGAATACCATTTGAAGAAACGGAAACCGGTCAAGATCAAAATCAGGACTTAGTTTCAAGAAAAGCTTGTTAACAACACCAAACCCAAGTCTTGAAATGGCTTCATTCTTGTAATTAGGGAGTGGAGGATTGAATCGAAACGTTCCGGAATCGCTGATTCCGGATTTGAGAACTCCTAATGAAACTGTGACAATAACATGATCTGCTGAGATGGTTGTGCCATCAAGAAAGTGAACCTTTACTGGTCTTGAACCAGAACCACCATGCCCATATCCCTTCAATCCGTTCACCAATTCGGGTTGCCATTCGATATTATACACTTTCTTGCCTAATTGAATAACCCCAGATGGCAATACAGATGCTAATGATTCTATAATTCTTGAATACCCTTTAGCAATTGTGATTTCTTCACCAGGGAACATCACATACTCACTTTCTGATTTGTAATCAAGATTAAGCAAATCATTAGCAGCTGTATAAGTTCTTTGGGTGTTTTCTTGCATTGCAAAAATGGCTTCTTGTAATAACTTTCTATTCCAACCCCCACACCCATTCACCTCCTCTCTTTCTTTTCTTGATTCCACTTCCCAATATGCCTCAAGACCTTTCCTAAGAAAAGACCCAACACTCATCATGTTCCCAATTCCTTTCCCATTCCCATAAAGATCCAATTCAATTCCATCCCCTATTGATTTACTTTTTCCTTGAGAAAAATCCATTAGATTCTTGAAAAGATTTGAAACTGGGTCAACAAGAGATGGATTTAACACATACCCATCTTCAGCAATGGTGATTGGATCATCAAGAAACCCATCCATGCACTCCCATGGCTGGTCTGATTCCAAAGCATTTGTTTCTTGAGCAATCTTGTGAACTGGGCTGCCTCCAATTCCATGGATCCAAGTGGCCCCCATCTCAATTCTGTCACCTCCAAACTCAGAGGTGTTTATCCTCCCTCCAATTCTATTCCCACCTTCAACAACACACAGCTCAAATGCCCCCTTTTTGACACCAGATTTGTAGAGCTTGTTTGCAGCTGTCAGCCCTGCCATTCCTGCCCCAATTACCACTATTCTTGGTTTCTTTACAACCATTTTGCCTAAACTTTACCAAAAAAATTTGTGGGTTGTTCTCAAGAATGACAGATTTGCAGAAAGATTGGAGAAATGGATGGTGGGTTTGAGGTTGTATGAACAAATGGCAAATGAGGGTTTCCTCTTTTCTTGGGTGGAAAAGAACAAAGAATGAGAGGGGTGAGGTTTAAGATTTTAACTAAGGAGAGAACATATGACTTTTGTATGCACCAAATGCTTTCAATATTTTATGAATTTATTTACAAAATAAGAATTAAAGGGAAATGGTAATATTTAAAAAATGGATGTAGTTCTTATCACCCGGTGTTAAAAAGATATGGAGGTTCAAATGCGGTGATTTCGGGTTATCTGTAAATCAGGTAGTTATTTTGTGATTAATCAACTCGCACAGTGGGTTGGATATCTAGGTTAAGAAAAAAAAAGATATGTAAACAATCGAAAAGGATAATGAAGAAGAAAGAAAGCTAAAGCTATGGTTTTTGTTTCAACTTTGGTATCATATATTTACCCAAATTAACACTCAAAGTTACCAAAGAGTCTAGTAAGATCTTGACATATACATACAACAAATGTAGGGAATGCATGACTGTATGTACTTTGGTCATGTGTGTGGGGTACAATATATATATATATATATATATATATATAGTATATTTCTTTTACAACCTTGTGTATTTGTACAACCCTTGCAACCCAATTAATTAAGATATTTATAGAAATGATGGGAGTTCATTTATTATGATTTGAATATTTATGAAATATGAATAGAGTTTATTAATTATGATTAATACTTTATATTAGGAAACAATCAAAACTTCTATGAAATCACATATTCATCAAATGAAATGGACGGTTGAGATTGGGTTGTATTGGTTGCACAAATGTCGAGGGTTGTATAATAACCAACCTCTATATATATATATATATATATGGGGTATATTTCTTTTAAAACCTTGTGTATTTGTACAACCCTTGCAACCCAATTAATTGAGATATTTATAGAAATGATGTGAATTCATTTATTATTATTTGAATATTTATGGAATATATATATATATATGGTATATTATATATATTATATATATGGTATATTATATATATTATATATATATATAATATATATATATTATATATATATAATATATATATATATTATATATATAGAGAGAGAGAGAGTTTTATGGGAAAATTTAAAATAAAAAATAAAAACTGAGGAACATCCTGGTAACCATTCATCTGAATGGTATATGTACATGTGCATACAAGTAGTTGAAGTTGTTTCTTGATTTTTATGCGCAGGTGCATATCGTCTAGATGAATGGTTACCAGAGTGTTCCTCAAATTTTCATTTTTTTTTACGATTTTTCCCTAAACCTGACCTTATATATCTACAATATATATATATATATATATATGTGTGTGTGTGTGTGTATATATGCATGTATAGTCAGAGGTTATTTTGAGAAGTGATAAATATTTCAGAAGTAAAGAAATAATCTTAGCCCTTTATACGGTCAAAATCGAATTTAGTCGGTCAATTATGATTCGTTTGTGTATATGTAAAGAGACATTTATATAAAATATTATTGGTTTTTATAATATACATTTAGATGGTAATATATATATATATATATAGAGAGAGAGAGAGAGAGAGAGAGAATGTGTATTGTTTCAAATACAACCCATCATATTTGTACAACCAATGCAACCCAATAAATTAAAATATTTATGGAAATGATGAGAGTCCATTTATTATGATTTAAATATTTATGGAAAATGAATAAAGTTTATTAATTATAATCAATATTTTATATTATGAAACAATCAAAACTTCTATGAAATTACATATTCATCAAATTAAATGGATGGTTGAGATTGAGTTGTATTGGTTGTACAAATGTAAATGATTGTTTAATAACTCACCTCTTTCTCTCTCTCTCTCTCTCTCTCTATATATATATATATATAACACTACCAACATATCAGTAGATTATTCACTTTACTATTTAATATGAATAACCAGACGTCATATGGGAATGGGGCGGGGACCCTAAATTCCCATCCACATCCCCGATCCCTGATCCCCGATCTCCTTCGCATTCTCATTTATGTCCCCGGTTGGGGAATATAATCACATCCCCATAGGAATCGGAGTGATTTTTCCTCTCGTTTATGTAAGATATTTTAAATCAAATGTGTTAAACAACACAATTGATCAAAAATGGTCAATGTTTAAATCTCACGTATTTTTTAGAATTTTGTCTTTATGCAGTATCATATTTTTGCATATGAACAATATCACAACATCATGCGTAATTGTTTGATCAAACGTTTTTGGCTCTCATGTTATTATCTACAAAAAGTAAGACAAATCAAAATAATATATATATATATATATATATAAACATGTCAAAATCTAATTCTTTATTAATAATATATTTATAATATATTTTATATACGAGGACAAGACGGGTCGAGTATCATGTTACCCGACCCCATCCCCAGTTATTAACTTTTGGGGATCCATTTCCCATCTACGGTCCTTGATTTTGCAGGGAATCAATGATTTATAGATAATGCGTGCTTGAAATTTAAGAATTTTATCTGAATACTTTATAAGATAGTAAATATATACTTTCATTAACAAACATAATCAAACGAATTCAGTATATCCCACAAAAATCAAGGTTCATGAATGATAAGATGTACACAGACCTTATCTACCTTAGAAGGTAGAGATGCTTCAGTAAAGACGAGTATATATGTACTTTCATTCTTTATCACTTACAATTTTTTTGATTAATCTGGATATCCAACTCGTTATGCGAGCCGACCAATCTCAGGATGACCACCTGCTTTGTGGGTAGTCCAGAGACACCGTATTTGAACCTCTATGGCCACAAAGAGATTTTTATTCCTCATTAGATTTGAATCTGAGACCTTCAGACACTTTTGACCTTGGATCACAAACTCAAACCAATCAGACACCACCATTGTGGTTCAATTTTTTTAAATTGCAACCACTCGAATTTAATATATATAATTTTTTTTTTCTAATTTCTAAGTTAATAAAAACTTGTTAATTATGTATGACTTTGAAAGACTTTTTTGGGTTTCTAAGGGGCTATTTGGTAGTTGGTGAATAGTTTGATACATAATGATTAAGTGGTCAGAATGATTAAGAAGGTGGCGTTTGTTTTTTAAGAGGTGCTGAAGTCTGAAGTC